TTCATCTCTGCCTTAGGGTGGGGCACCACCATGTCAGTGTGCTCTTCATCTCTAACAAATGGGCTTCCAGTGGCCTCATCCAGGTGAGCCCCAGCTTGGCCTCCAAAGAGCAGCTCTGCTAGGAATGAGGAATCTTTTGGAGAGGTTTTTGCTATAGGGCGCGTGCTCTCGCCAGACAGAGACAGAGAGACAGAAAGCGAGAAATCACTCTCCAGGGGGAATGGTCGTGCCGCAATCCCTTCTCCTGCATTCTCCTCTCGGGATCTTGGGCACGCACACACACACGCTCGGCGTGAGTTTTAAGCCACCGGGTCCGGGATGCGAACCACGGTCGACTACGTGGGAGTCCAGCGACATAGCCATTACGCTAACTGCTGGTTCCCAGGAATGAGGAATCTTGAACTGCCTCTGCCAATCCTCCAAGTATTGAGTTTGAATCTGGGTCTGGATCTCATACTGCACATAGGACATACTCAAATATTGATAGAATAAAGAGTGAAACAACAATATATATAGTGGGCTTAAATATAATGGAAACTCCTTTACATTCAAATATAAGCAGCCAATGACAATTGTGATATTACAATAATGCTGTTTTTCTTATCCAGTGAAGATTTTGGAATGTTTAATGGCTAATGGGAAGAAGGTGCTAATGTGAAGGTAGAACTCCCTGCAAGGGAAAGGTCATTCTGAAGCAATGTCTTACTGATTTCATAATTTTGGTGAAAATCGGCCTTGTTTACCCATTTCCAACAGTTAAATGAGGAAAGGTTTGAGTACTATCCAGTTATGTAACCATACATGCAACAAACACTGCTTGTGAGATTAATAAAGCTTTTCACAGGACCAACAGATGGCATAATGATAACGCTGCTGGACTCCCACATAGTTGACCATGGTTCTAGTCTGGGACCCAGCAGCTTAAAACTCATGCCAGCACATTTGTGTGCATGCCCAAGATCCTGGAAGGAGAATAGAGGAGAAGGGACAGAATGAAAGATAAAAATCCCAAGATCACCTCAGTAAATACAGAAAAGATATTTGGTAAGATTTAACATCTCTTAATGATAAAAGCTCTCAACAAATTAGAAATCAAAGGAACATACCTCAACACAGTAAGGCCATATATAACAAACCCACAGTTAAAAATCACACTGGACAAAGAAAATTGAAAGCTTTTCTTCTAAGAACTAGAGCATAACAAGGATGCCCATTCTTGCCACACCTATTCAACATGTTGGAATTTCTAGCCAGAGCAGTTAGACGAGAGAAAGAAAGAAAGGGCATCAAATTGAAAAAGAGGAAGTCAAAGTGTCTCTGTTTGTAGATGACATGATCGATATATAGAAAAACCTGAAGATTCCACCCAAAACTCTTAGAACTGAATTGAGTAAAGTTGCAGGTCCTGACTCCTTCAACCACTAGGCTCTACAATGCCAGCCCAAAAAGCAAACTCCGATATACCATCAGTGGGTTTGTTAATCAGTACAACCACTATAGAAAACAGTATTAAGATTCTTCAAAAACTAAAAATAGGACTACTACATGCCTCACTAGCTCACTACCAGGTATATGTACATACCCAAAGGAAAGGAAATCAGTATGTCAAAAAGATACCTGCATTCCTACACTTATTGGTATCAAACAGAAAGAGGCTGGTTATTTTAAGCAGCAGAGAAATTAACTGGAAAAGAAGGTTCCAGAAATGAGAAGGCTGAAAAACCAGGCTTGGGCAGCAATAGAGCAAGGGCAGGCAAAGCCACAGTCCTGCCCCAACACAAGTCTGCTTGGGAGGCTGCCGCGGTCACCCTTGTTCCAGGTAGTCACTGTCTCACCACTGTACCTTAACATACACGCAGGGTCTGCCTATGCCTGGTTTTACAGCTTTGCTTCATGCAGTCAGAGACCTACCACCTGAGTACCCTGTAGAATGCAAACATCTGTAAAAGCCATTACTTTCGGGCCAGGAGGTCGTGTGGTGGTTAAGGGCGCTGGACTCCCACATGGCTGACTGTGGTCTGAGTCCCAGACCTGGCGGCTTGCTCTCTCTCTCTCTGTCTCTCCCTGGTCAAATAAAAAAATAATAAAGTTAAATAAAATAATTTTTTTAAAAAAGCCATTACTTTCTTCAAAACCTCTTAAAATTAACATGGGTGTAGTACCAACAGGTTAACATGATTACAAGCACTGGACTCACACATGGACAGTTTGAGTCCCGGACCTGGCAGTTTGAAAATCATGCTAGTTTGGGCATGGTGGCACCCGCCCAATGGAAAAATCACACTGGTCTTGTATGTGTGTTGTTTCCCTGATTCCAGGAAGAGAATGGAGAAGGGATTTTGGCATGGCCATTCCCCCTGGGGGTGTAGGGAGTGTGATTTCTCATTTTTCTCTCTTTGGTAAGCGTGCGTGTCTTATGGCAAACACCTTTAAAAAATTTAACAAGGTGGACTTCTTAGTTTTCCTGGCCCTACTTGCCCCACCCAGCATTGTCTCCCTAATCTATGGCATCTTTAGTGCCAATTCTGTCAACTTCTCAAAAAGTTCAGTGAGAGCTCTTCTCATAGTAAGATAGTCAGAATCAGAAAGAGGTAGCCATAGATTCAAGACTTGATAGCTCTCCGTATGTTAAAATGAATTCAGCAGATTCCACTAATATTCGGGAAAATCATTTATTTAAAAAAATCATTTTGGAAGATTTCAACCTAGTCTTTAGACATATAATTCAGGATATTTTTAGGGAAAAAAAAATAAAAGCTTAAAGTCTTGCTGTTCTTTCATCACCCCCTCCCTGCACACATTACTCACTTTTCATAGCTCCTACACTTTCTGCAGTAGCCAGATGTATTCTTTACCAACACGACCTTCCAGGCTTAATGTTTGGGTGCAAACCAAAATTTTCACTGCTTTTATACTACCTAATGTGACCACATTTTTTTTGTTACTTTTGACTACTTAATTTTTCAAGCTGACCCAGGGTGTGGTGGTGAAGGCAGCTGGATCCCACATGGCAGACTGCACAGTTTGAGTCCCAGACCCAGCAGCTTGAGAAACACACCTGCTCATATGCATGCGTGCCCAAAATCCTCAAAGGAGGGAGGGACAGAGTGAAGGGACTGTGGCATGACCATGTCCCATGGGGGTTGCTTTCTCACTTTCCCTCTTTCTCCTGTCTCTAGTGAGCACATGCTCCCTCTGGGAAAGCTTTTTTTAAGTTTCTGGATTTTTTTTTTTTTTTTTTTAGTTCCACTAGTAATGTCAAATTTTGCAAGTAATTTGTTGCAAATAAATAATTTTGCAAATTTTACTGGTTGGGACCAGCAGTTGGCGTAATGGCTATGTTGCTGGACTCCCATGTAATTGACTGTGGTTCGAGTCCTGGACCTGGTAGCTTAAACTCATGCCAGGTGTGTGTGTGTGCGTGCCCAAGAGGAGAATGGAGGACAAGGGACTGTGGCATGGCCATCCCCCTGGAGGGTGATTTCTCGCTTTCTGTCTCTCCATCTCGTCTTTCTGGCAAGCGCACGCACCGCACCCTATAGCAAAAACCTCTCCGGGAAAAAAAAAAAAAAGTTTAACCTGTGTCACCTTCACTTGGTCCTTAAAATCTTACTGTTCTCATTCTATAAATGAAGAAACCAAGACCAAAAAGGTAAATATCATAACCAACATAGGAGTTTAAATTAAACTGCAGAAATACAAGATTTGCTGGCAATAAATAAGTTATCTTTATTATGATTTTAATAGTTAAAATTGGCATGTTTCCTAGATAAAGTAGTTGATAACAGGATAAAAAAATTACAAAAAGGCAGCTTTTTCTTAATGATTCATTTGAATTAACTATAAAATTAAAATACCTGCTGATTATTTAATATTGCCTAAAATAACACAAAATATATTCAGTATGTAATACAAACCTCGATAGTCCAATTCTTCTAATAAGCAATTATTTACAAACTCTGAACTAAGGAAAAGACTTAGCTAAACAGAGAAATACAAAAACAATAACGTTCTCAAATAACTTTATCATTAAGTAATTTATGCTTTGGAGTAGAAATATTCAGTTAATACAGTATGTTAATTTTATCAATTTTTAGTTTACATTTTGTTGGTGTAAATTTAACCCAACCTAAATTCCTGTGTGCTTGGAAAATGAAACTTTTTAAAAGCTACTATTAAGAATTTGTAACAGTTTAATAATTCAGACTGACATCTCAGCCTACTTATCTTAAAGGTACAGAATTTAATGATGCCACCCCCTTTTTTTGGTTAAATGGAACTTATTCTCATTAACAATGTAAAGCACTTTCCTTTCTAAACTGTATAATTTTATTCAGTTATCTATATAACAATGTCATACAATAGTAAGCAAAGCAAGCAACATTACTTTTTTTTAAATAACATCTTTAATTAAAGTTTTTGCAAAGGTAAAATATTAAACTTAAAATAGGTCTTAGTACATCAAAATACTAAGTTCTCTAATTGTATTCCAAGATGGTCTTTAAAACATAATATCCCGTATATCACAGAAGAGCAACCTTGATCTGCAATTGTACAAATGAATTTTACAAACATAATAAATATATTTACGCCCTTACACATAACAGTATGTACAACAGCAGTTGACAATAGTAGCTCAGAACAGCAAAAAGGATTAGCCCCTCCCCCAAACTGTAGCCCTGATGCATACTGGACCCATTCAGGAACCTTGACTGCAAGCAGTTACTAATAACTCAATGTAGTTCTTCCCTTCAAAGAGAAGAAAATTTTCTTTTGTTCCTCAAAATAAAAACATTTAAGTTTGGTGTGTTCTTCCGTTAACCATAGAAAATGACAGAAGATAGACTAAGGCAGGCTTAAATGGGGAAGAATATAAATTTCAGAGTAATTTCCCATAGCATAATAGAGGACTAAAATGTAAAACATAAACCCATGAGGAAACATAACTATTTTTAACCAAGGAATTAAAAATCTGCTATTGCTGATTCAGACAGGTAGGAGACAGACATATGTAATGAAATGATAATGTACAAAGGCGGATCAATAAAATTACATTGCACAAAAGCTCAAAAAAGTTCAAGATGAAATCATCTGAAAATATAGGAATTTTCTTAAGTGGAAGAAAATGCTAAGTTATAAAGGGAACTCCCAAGAGGAAGTTATACCTGTTTTCCTAACCAAGGTGTATTTACCTCAAATAATGGTGACAGTATTGCTATGAGATAATCAAAAATTACTCCTAAAGGGAGACAACGCCTTTTTTCCCCCATAAAAGCCAGAAAAAAAGAAAACCAAATTCTTGATATTCATTATAGAAAAAGAAAATCTTTATATAAAAGCTATTATATTTTAATGTTCTTATTTCTAAAACCGCAATCTAATATGCTTGTCAAAAACACATTTTAATCACTATAGACACTGCTCAAATCTTGATGTAATCCTAGAAGAATCACATCAGAGTGGATCTGACATTAAAAGACGCAACAGTGTAAGTGTGACATTATGATGGCATTTAATAAACAAAAAGAAATGTGAACATTTAAAATATACAAAAGCCCAGTATGAAGATCCCCCTCATATAACAGACATTTCACTCTAGAAACTAATTGCACATTATAAGAGTATTTTAGCCCTATGTAGCATTCCACAGAAATTAAATGTGCTCTCAGCCATTCAAGTGGTCTGATTACTCAAATGACCACCAAGCAAGAGTTCGTATACTGAAAGGCACACATTTCCATATTTTATCTAGTGATTTTGTGTAAATTTTCCTTAGCACTGTTAATTTTTTTAAAGGTGCCATTCGCCATCTGTGCAAATCAAAACAAATCCTTTTCTGAAACCATTATATTTTCATTATATCAAGTCTGCCCTATTTCCCCCCTTTGGGTAAATATACTACTTTCATTCTTAAATCCTGAAAGTGGGAATTCCTTGTCTTTTCAAAGGAATGATATTTTAATGAAACCTAATGCAATAGTAATTTGTTAAATACAATGTTAAAAGCATGATTAAGAATTCAAGTACAATAAAAGATAAGCAGATGCCATTCTTATAACAAAGCCAGTATAATAAAACCCAGAACATGCTGATAAAAAGAAACACAATGTATTAACATGTAAGAGCACAATTTGGTATGCAGTGTTGTTTGGACCAGCTTTCAGAATTTTCACAGGTCAAAGAAAAGCATCTGTCAGGCCTAGCTGCAGTAACTGGCACTGGTAAGAAAAGTATTTGCTCAGTATGTCATAATATGCAATAAACAGGTGCAAAATACAAATGGTTATTTCCTGCTTCAAAATAACCATAGTGAGTCATTTTGAAAGCAGTGGTTGTTCATGTTTGAAAATAAAGTTATAAAAACAGGCCAGTATACAAGCTACTATGAAAATGAATGTCTACAGAGGGCCTAAGAGCTGAGTATCATACAGTAATCCAAATTTCAGTAGCGTAAGAACTACTAGATAGCCAAAGGGTTTCATTTAAGCAACACTGCAGCACTGCTCCATTTTATAGGTAGTTCAGGTGGTTGACTTCTTCACTGAGTAAATATAAATCTACTAGCAACAATACTGAAGGACAACTCAACAACGGGACTTCTGTGATTTTACTCCCTTCCCTCTCCTCTTCTCCCAGTCTTACAATAATAGTAACTGTGTGCTTTGAGAGTAGTGGGGTAAACAAACTTCCTCTCAAAAAAACTAAATTAATAAAATCAAAATAAAAACTGTATCATCAGTTATGGCATCTAAATAAAACCTAACTAGTAAAACACTAAACACCATCATTTATACAAAAGCTCAGAATATAAGTTAAAGAGACCAAGTTGGCAAGTGGGGTTGGACATAGGGAGAGGAAAAGAAAAAAACAAAACAAAAAATCCAAACCAAAAACCTATTAGCCTTTTTCAAGAAGCTTAAAAATTTGTGTTTAAAAAAAAAAAATAAAGGAAAGAATACAATATAATGGCTCACAGTTTTCTCCTTTGCAATGTACTTTAGAGAGTTTATGTGTTAACTTCTAGAAACACACAAAGGCAAATAAAAGACAAAAATCGAAGATAAAAAAAAAATCAATATACAAGTAACTTAAACCTGTCAACTTTCTCCTGTAAAATCAAATCGGTTTATAAGAACACCAAGGTGAAGAGAAGTGTTCCTGCAGCTCTCCCACACAGCTGATTCACACCGAACACAGCAGTGCCATATTGTTCTTTGGAGCCCCTTTCAGAATCCAGAGCTAGGCATTCTTCACATACATATTAAATTTCTATCATTTTATATATACAAGTCAAATTTCTATGTTTTCTTCCCAATGTGCAAACTGGAGCCATATCTATATTATCACTGGCCTGGAAGGCCCACCAAATCAAAGAGGTAAATATGTACTCAGTAACCCATCCCCCCCAAAACCCAAAAATTTCCCCTCAAATTACAAAATTGCTTTAAAAGTTTTTGTTCAATTAGAATAAGAGATTTTTTTCATTTTTTAACTAGTAAACACAAGAAACTTTTATAATTACTAAATTGTTTAATAAAATCCAGGTCTACCTCCTGCCCACCCTATGCTTCAATCAATGCACAATGTTGTCTGAATGTTAAACACATACATAAGAACAAACTTCAGCCCAACAGAAAAATCTACAGAGACTCATATACTCATGTACACAATTTCAGCTAGATAGTATACTCATGTGTACGCAAGTTCAGCTGGATGGTAACTGTGAAATAAAACTGTACTCCTGAGGGGCCAAATCTGGGTTTCTTTTTAAGATGTGATACTAAAAGAAACAAATAGTTTCTCTTTAAGGATATTAAAGCTGTTATTTTAATTCAACTCAATTCGGACAAGACCTCAGTCTTCAAGTTATCTTTCATAAGTATAAATATCTAATCAAAATAAAAATCCATTCCTGGGTCAAATTTTGTCTCCAACTGTGATTACTGATTGATTACTTCCTTTAAATCTTAAATAGATGTTTCATAAAGCAGGGAAGGAAGAGGTATATATTGCTGAGGGAGAATAGCAAGTAAAAAATATTTAAGACCTATTATGAGATTTTCTAAATTGTTTCTTTAGACAAGTAAATTAAAATTCAACACCATAATTCTTACCCTTTTGTAAAAAGCTCACGAGCAATTTTTACCAAATATAACCACATACATATAAGCAATTTCAGTTCAATCTATCAAAAGGGAAGCTTCTTCAGTTCATTCCAACAAGTATCTTCGGATTGAACCCAAGTTGGAGAAAGATATAGACAAAGCCTTACATGCTAATTACCGATGGCAGGTACCTGTATTTAAAATTATCAATTATGGTTTTCCTACACAAAACCCCAATCCCCCCACCCCAACAACCCCAGATGCTACAGTTCCATGGCTTGCCAGTTAGAAGTAGTGTCTATGTTGTCAAGGTCTATCTTTGTTCCAGTAGCTTTGCTTCTACTGCATTTTTCTGACATGCAGAAGTGAAGTTTTGGTTGGCATATGTCCCAAGTTTTAAACTGTCCGCTTTAATTTTTTTTTAAGTTTCTTTTGTTTTATTTATAAAATAAAAGAAGCAACTCTTCACCATTCTGCATCCCCAATGGCTTTGGAAAATATATAATCTCTTCCATTAAGATTCATAATGCCATCCTTGAGATGAAATTTCCATTTGTTTTTGCTTCTATGTATCTAAAAACAAAAAAAGATACAATCAGAAAAACAATAAACTCATCCATGAAAAGACATAAAACTTTTGTCTTATATGATACTGCATTTGCAAATTGGTTTCTTCTATTATTTTTAAAGGTATTTGCCTTAGGGTGCATGCACTGGCTGGAGAGAGAGAGAGAGACAGAGAGTGAGAGGGAAAGTGAGTAATCACCCTCTAGGGGGATGGCCACTCCATAATCCCTTCTCCTGGGATCGTGGGCACGCATACACACACTCTGAACATGAGTTTCAAGCCACGAGGTCTGGGACTCAAACTGTGGTTGGCCATGCAGGAGTCCAGTGATGTAACTGCTAATCCATCTGCTGGCCCCGCAAATTAGTTTCTTAATAAAGTTTAATTTAACTAATCAACCAGCCAAACAAAAAACCATCTCACTCACTGAGTAGGTTTTTTTTTTTTTTTTGAGAGATTTTCACTGTAGGGTGCGTGCGCTTGCCAGACAGACAGAGAGAGACATAGAGACAGAAAGCGAGAAATCACCCCCCAGGGGGGATGGTCACGCCGCAATCCCTTCTCCTCCATTCTCCTCGCGGGATCTTGGGCACGCACGCACACGCGCCCGGCATGAGTTTTAAGCCACCGGGTCTGGGACACGAACCGCGGTCGACTACGTGGGAGTCCAGCGACATAGCCATTACGCTAACTGCTGGTTTCCTCACTGAGTAGGTTTTTAAAATGTATCTGTAATTAGTATTATCTTACAGCTTAGTACTATTTGTGTTCATTAAATTAATATTTTTCTTAAAATGCTTCACCTCTACCAGGTTTACATAAATATATTCAAGGTCCACCTCAAAAATACCACATCCTGGAACCGTGCAGGTGGCATAGTGGTGGGGCACTGGACTCCCACATGGGAGTTCAAGTCCCAGACCTAGTGGCTTGCTTTCTCAATTTCTCTTTCTCCTCTAGGGAGCACATATGTCCTATAGCAAATTAAAACAATAAAAAATATAGTAATTCTTAAAAAAAAAAAATCACAAATCTTCGCAAAGTTTCTCAATCTCCTGGGCTAGTAGCACTCTTTCAAACTACTCAATTCCCAGTGACATTTCTAGCATTATTTGTAAGCAACATAATTATGACTAATTTCTTCCATAAAAATAAAACTCCTTATACAGTTTTCTCAAGACCTGACATGGAACCTTACACACAGCAGTATTTAAAACACACATCTGAAGGAATGTGATTTCAAAAATGATATACATCTACTAATAAGTCAAAAGGGAAAGAACAGGCTCTGGGCACATACATCCTTGCCTAACACTTACAGTTTATAGCTGTCTGGATTCCCTAGATCTGGAGAGAACATGAGTTAAAAAACTTTATCAGCTGAAGTCAACTTTCTTCCCCTTCATCCATTCATTCATGAACTTTCAGGTCAAGTTCCACACCTGCAAAGAAGGCCCCTTTGTTCTCCTGAATCTACAAACTAAAAGTACCTCAAAATCTACTTGTTTAGGCTTTTACCTTTGAAACAGGAAATTATAGTTAGAAGAGGTTCAATGATTTGACCAACAACATACTGATATTAAGTGACAAAAGTGATCCCTAAATCCTGGTCCAATACTATAACTATTTTAATTAAATCAATCTGTTTTGGGACCAGCAGTTAGCTTAATGGCTATGTCACTGGACTCCCACGTAGTCGACCGCAGTTCATGTCCCAGACTTGGTGGCTTAAAACTCATGCCGGGCGCGTGTGCGTGCGTGCCCAAGATCCCGAGAGGAGAATGGAGGAGAAGGGATTGCGGCGTGGCCATCTCCCCTGGGCGGTGATTTCTCGCTTTCTGTCTCTCTGTCTCTGTCTTTCTGGCGAGCGCACGTGCCCTATCGCAAAAAAAAACCTCTCCAAATTAAAAAAAAAAAAATCAATCTGTTTCAGTCATAATGCAGAAATGCTCACCAGAAACAGATACTTCCTGAGATCCGATAGTCTAACCTCCCAGTGTAAGCATTCTCACTGGCATATTCTTTGCAAATGGTTGTTGAGCGTCTGCCTGAATGTGATTAGAGGTGGGGGCAAAGAATTTCAAATTAAATTGTTCTTTTTGGGACAAGCTCTCTTATCTTTTTTACTTCCATTCACTGATCCTAGTCTGTGTTCTGAGATTTCAAACAACAGCAACAATATATAATATTTGATTTTGAAAAACTCTCACATGTTCTTCTAGAGTCATACTTTTTGTACATACTAAAACAAAATACATGGGACCAGTAGGTGACATAGTGGTTAAGGCAGCTAGATTTCACATGGCTGACTCACAGGTTCAAGTCCCAGACCAAGCAGCTTGAAAAACATGTCAGTTAGTGTGCTGTGTGCCCAAAATTCCAAGAGGAGAAGGGATTGTTGCGGCATGGCCATTCCCTCCAGGGGAATGATTTACCACTTTCTTTCTCTCTGTTTCTCCAGCGAGCGCATGAACCCTAAGGCAAAAATCTCTCTTGGAAAAAAAAAAAGATAATGTATTTATATAGAGAAAAAAATTTATGAGGAAAGCTATAAAATAGGAATTCCACAGACAAGTAGAGAAACTGATTCCAGAGGCCGGCAGGTGCCAAGTGGTTAAAGTGCTGGACTCACATGGCCAACAAATGTTCGAATTATGTATCTGGCAGCTTGCTTTCCACTCTCCCTTTCTCTTTGTCTCTCTCTAGTCAAATTAAAATAATAATAATAAAATATAATAATTTTTAAAAAGTAAGATCCATTGTCTTGGCATTTTCCTTAAAAGAAAGCCCTAGCATATTTCTATAAAAACAACACTTTTGGGACCAGTAGATGGCATAATGACTGTCACCGGAATCCCACATAGTTGACTACAGCTTGAGTCCTGGACCCAGAAGCTTGAAACTCACATGGACGGCCAACCCCCGGGGGGTTAGGGGGCATGATTTCTCGCCTTTTCTGGCAAGCACACACGCCCTACAGCAAAAAAAAAAAAAATCTCCCTAAAAAAAATGTTTTTAAATAATAACACTTTCATCATCTGTAAAGGAAAATTCAGGCAAAGCACCAGTTTTGCGTGTTAATGACTATAGCTCCAGTGCCTAGAATAGTGCCTAGTACATTCACCCACTCAATAAATACTTGTTGAAGGAGTATCTGTTGAATAGTTAGAAATAAAATCCAACTGCTTCTATTAGGAGTTTTCAGCACTTGTTAAAGTCTTTCACTGAAAGTGTATATCATAACTTTAATGACCATAGTCAAAAACCAATTTTCATTCTAATTTTAAATGTCTTGGTAACAGAAATCTTAACAATAATGCCAGCAACTATAAGAAAAAAATACTTAGAAAGAAGCATTCTGTGTAGAATTAAGAACACAAGGAATCAATAGCTAATTCTCACAGAATCTGATTTAAAATTTCCCTAATGTTATCAATGTCACAAAACTAATTTCTAAGCAATTTTCAATAAAAACTTACCTGTTTATTAGTTTTCAGTCCTGTTTATCGCCCTAGTCCTTTCTTTAGTAATTAAAAAAAAAAGGTTATAGACAATTAAACCGTTCTAGTTTGAAGGAAGGTATTGTAGCTGAGGCTAAATAGAAAACAGGATCATCCCAATCACTGAGCTACTGTTCCAAGATAACCAAGGTGACATTGCTTTCTTTATTAACTGAAACAGTCTAAACGGAAAAAAGATAACTCTGTCCATTTATTCCATAACCTATTTTGCAAATGTAAAGCTAAAAAATGCTTCATTAGAAAGAATAATAAAATTATGACAATATTTTCACAATGTTTAATACTGAATGCAAAAGGCATTAAAACCAGTGTTTCACTAAGACAAAAAGGACAGAATGGGGAAGAAGTTACAACAGAAATAATGTTAGTAATCTGCAGATGAAATCCTCACCTTATCATACTGGCATACAACAACATTTTCTGTGTCAAAGAGTTCTTGTCCCTCCTCATCACTCACATCATCTTCACTATTGAGGGGTTCCTACAAATCAAAGAGGAGAACTTATTTACTTATACCCCATGTATTATTATTAAGGCCACTTCTAATATTTATTGATAAGAAATAGAATGATCTTGATATTCCTTTAAAAAATGCACACACACACACACACACACACAAACTCATCATGAATATAATAATTAACCAACTGCAGAGCTTAGCAACATTACTGCAATTTCAACAAGAAATTAAATACAATTAAAATAGTTAAGTTAGATAAATTGGAAAAAGTGTTCAACTTTATTTCCATTGTTAAAAAAAAATGTAAGAGAGGTTTTTTGCCATAGGGCACATGTGCTTTCTGGGGAACAAGAAGTCACCCTCTAAGGGGATGGCCATACTGTAATCCCTTCTCCTCCATTCTCCTCTAGGGATTTTGGGCATGCATGCACATGCACCTGGCTTAAGGTTCAAGCCACTGGGTCTGGGAATCAAACCATAGTCAGAGATGTGGGAGTCCAGCAACATAACCATTATTCCATCTGCTGTTCTTTTATTTCCATTGTTTTTTAAAGACTAGTGTAATAACTCTCCACAAGTATTTAAGATGCCTAGAAGCAGACTTAAGAAAATCTGAAGATTTCCTGAACTAATGGCATTATTTACCATAAACAGTATATAAAAAAAAAAGCAGTAAAATTGGAGAGGTATCTTTATAATAAATGAGAACTATGAATACAAATCATCATAATTATCATTATGATGGTTACAGTAGAAGTATGAATTAAGATTCAGATTTCTTAAAATGCAGGAGTGGATTGCCATACAGCAGTAAAATACAATGCTCTGAAGACTAATCCACACAGGAACGTTCCAGATTCATAATTAGAGACTTCCCTAACATACCAGCCATGCACGTGCCCATGACCTGAGGCTAGCTGAAGCTGGGGGAGGATCCCAGGATCAGGATCCTGTTAGGATGCTGTCTGTCTCTCTTGCCCTCATGGAAGAAATAAACTTAAAAAGAAAAAAATAGGCAGGGAATAGGAACTCTTGGTACTAAAGAGAATTAAAGGCCAAGATAAAACCACCTCATCAGAGCACAAAATAAAAAGTCCTATTAAACTCTACCTCAATCATGACAGAATAGATATAACTCAGATACCTAATCAATAAAAAGACAGGACAAAATAAAAATAGAATGAGGGCCAGTCAGGTGATGTGATGATTAAGGCACTGGATCCCACATGGGATGACAGTATGGTTTGAGTCCCAAATCTGGCAGCTTGAAACACACCAGGCACATGTGTGTGTACACCCAAAAAATCTGAGAACAGTGGAGAAGGGGATGCATGATGGTCTTCCTCCTTGGGAAGTGCTTTCACACTCTCACTCTGTCTCTCTTTGCCAAGTGCATGTGCTCTATAGCACACTGAAAAAAAATGGGGGGGAGGGCAGCAGATGGCATAGCACATCCCCCCCGGACTCCCACATGGCCAAAGTCAAGTCCTAGAACCAGTGGCTTGAAAATCATGCCAGGAGCACATGCGTGTAAGCCTAAGAGCCTGGGAAGAAAGTGGAGAAGGGATTGAGACATGGCCATCACTCCTGGGAAGTGATTTCTTACTTTTCCTCTCACTGTCTCTGTCTCTCTCTCTTCCCCCTCCCCTCAAGTGCACACACCCTAAAAAACCTCTTTTAAAAGAAAATGGGAAGAAAACCAAGATGATATGAAGTCTGGGTCTATACCTAATCACACACTTGGGTGTGTGTATTCTTTAATTTGAAACAGATAGCACCAATGTAAAAATAGTATACTTTACTGAGATAAAATTCACATACAACTTACCATTTTAACCGTATTACAGTGTATGGTTCAGTCACACTAAGAACACTCATCGTGTGTGCAACCATAACTCCTACCCATTAAGTAATTATTCTCCACGCCCCTTTGTCCCCTAGCACCTACTAATTTGCTTTCTGGTTTAGCAGATCTGTGTATTCCAAGTATTTCATATAATGAAGAACACAACATGTGATCTTTTGTGTCTGGCTCCTTCCAATTAACATGGTCTCAAGATTAATCATGCTGAAGTATAATCAGTACTTCATTTCTTTTTATGGCTGAATATTAGGTAGTCAGAAAAGTCATGACATATTTTTTTCTGTTTTTCTATTCAAAAATACATCATGACTTTTCAACAACCTAATAATATCCACCATAGGACATTCCACATTTTATTTATACATTCATCAGTTGATGGACATTTTTTTTGTAAGCAGTTTTTGCCTCAGGGTGCATATGCTCGCCAGGGAGAGAGACAGAGACAGAGACAATGAAAGGGGAAGTGAGATATTACCCTTAGGGAGGATGGCCATGCCTTAATCCCTTCACCTCCATTCTCTTCCTGGTATCTTGGGGCACACATACACATGCGTCCAGTGTGAGTTTCAAGCTCCTAGGTCTAGGACTCAAGCCACGGTTGGCCATATGGGAGGTCCAACTACATAAACCATTATGCCATCTGCTGGCCCTCATGCTAGGGCTGTTTACACATTTTGGATATCAAAAAGAATACTGCTGCAAACAATCACGTACAGTTTCTTGTTCAACACTTGTTTTCATTTCTGTGTGTGTTTTCATTTCTGTGTGTGTTTTTTAAATATCTTTGCCATAGTGAGCATGCACTCCATGGATAAAGAAGACAGAGAGCAGAAAAGTGAGAAATCACCTCCCAGTGGGATTGGTCACAGTGCCCTTCTCCTACATTCTTCTGTCAGAAGTTTGGGCCTGTACACATACATGTCCACTTTGATTTCAAGCTACCAGGTCTGGGACTCAAACGGAGGTTGATCATTTAGAAGTCCAACACCTTGGGACCAGCAGTTAGAATAATGGTTATGTCGCTGGACTCCCACGTAGTTGACCGCAGTTCGCGTCCCGGACCCGGCAGCTTAAACTCATGCCAGGTGCCTGTGCGTGCATGCCCAAGATCCCAAGAGAATGGAGGAGAAAGGATTGCAGCGTGGCCATCCCTCCTGGGGGGTGATTTCTCGCTTTCTATCTCTCCGTCTCTGTCTTTCTGGCGAGCCCACGTGCCCTACAGCGAAAACCTCTCCAAAAAAAAAGAAGTCCAACACCTTAACCAGTGTGCTACCTGCTGGCCCTGCTGAGTCAGTTCCATGGTTTACTATTTTAGGATCCACCAAACTGTTTTCTTTACCAGCTACACTATTTTTATATACCATTAGGAATACACAGAGTTCTAATATCTCTAAGTCTTTGCCAACATTTATTTTCTTTCTTTCCTTCTCTTTTTCCTTTCTTTTTTGATCATAGCCACCCTAGTAGGAGATGGTATCTCATTTTGATTTGCATTTCTCTAATGACTAACAATAAGCATCTTTTTAGGCCCTTACTATATATGCTTCTTTAGGGAGAAATATTTATTCACGTCTTTTGTCCACTTTTTAAAAATTTTAATTGGCAGAGGGTATGTAAACTTCTCAGAGTGAGGCAGAGACACATAAAGAGAAAGCATCCTGGAACCAGCAGTTAGCGTAATGGCTATGTTGCTGGACTCCCATGTAGTTGATCACGGTTCGCGTCCCAGACCTGGCAGCTTAAACTCACGCCGGGACGATCCTGAGAGAATGGAGGAGAAGGAATTGCAGCGTGGCCATCCCCTCCGGGGGAGTGATTTCTCGCTTTCTGTCTCTGTCTCTCTCTGTCTTTCTGGTGAATGCACGTGCCCTATAGCGAAAACCTCCCCAAAAAAAGAAAAAAAAAAAAAAAAAAGAGAGAAAGCATCCCTAGTAGGCATGGCCTTATCACAATCCCTTCTCCTCCACCCTATTGAGATTTGGGGCACACATGCACCCCATGTGTTTTTCAAATCACTGGGGCCAGAAATAAAACCATAGTCAGCCATGTGAGGTCCTCCTCCCCTAAACACTAGGCTATCGGATTGGCTCATTTTTTAATTGAGATGTCCTTTTGTTGTTAAACTTTAAGAGGCTTTTATATATTCTAGGTATTAATACCTTTTCAGACACAGCATTTACAAGTATTTTCTCCCTTTCTATGGGTTATCTTTTTTACTTTCTTGGTATTATCCTTTGATGTACCAAAGTTTTCTTCATACAAATTCTACCATTTTCCTTTTACTTTTGATGTCAGATCTAAGAAATGATTGCCAAATACAAGATTATAAAGATTTACCCCTACATTTTCTTCTAAGAGATAGCTCTTAAATTTAGGTCTCTGACCCATTTTGAGCTTTTTATATATGGTGTAGGGTAGGGATCTAATGTCATTCTTTTGCATGTGGATATTCAGCAGTCCAAGCACCATTTGTGAAAACACTATTCTTTCCCTTCTGAATATGTAAGGCTAATGTAAAAAATTTTGTAACATAATGGCATAAATAGCAATAATCTACTCATAAAAAACAAACCTAAAGCTTACAGATCCAGAGTTGGAAAGTGAAAAAATGTAAAAAACTACACTAGGCAAATTCTAGACAAAATAAAACTGGTAAACCTCTATTAGAATCATGTAAACAGGGAACCAGCAGTTGGCGTAATGGCTATGTGGCTGGACTCCCACGTAATCGACCGCGGTTCGTGTCCCGGACCCGGTGACTTAAAACTCACGCCGGGCGTGTGTGCATGCGTGCCCAAGATTCTGAGAGTAGAATGGAGGAGAAGGGATTGCGGCGTGACTATCCCCCCTGGGGGGTGATTTCTCGCTTTCTGTCTCTATGTTTCTCTCTGTCTGTCTGGCGAGCGCACGCGCCCTAAAGTGAAAACCTCTCAAAAAAAAAAAAAAAAATCAAGTAAACAGACTTTATAGTAACCAAACATTAACTAGAGTTAAAGCAGGACTAGTATCCAGAATATATTAAAAACATTAAAAACTCTTAACAGCTTAGGAACCAGCAGTTAGTGTAATGGCTATGTGGCTGGACTCCCACGTAGTCGACCGTGGTTCATGTCCCGGACCCGGTGGCTTAGAACTCACACCGAGCACGTGTGCATGTGTGCCCAAGATCCCGAGAGGAGAAGGGAGGAGAAGGAACTGCGGCGTGACCATCCCCCCTGGGGGGTAATTTCTCACTTTCTGTCTGTCTGTCTGGCAAGCGCACGCGCCCTATATCGAGAAAAAAAAAAAATACTCTTTTAACGACAAAAAGACATCCCCCCCACCCCCCCAAAAAAAGGTCCGGTATTGTAGTCTAATGGTTAGGGGAGCAGGACCCCACTTGGCTGACTTGGTTTTATTTCTGGCTCCCAAAAAAATAATTATAGTTATAAGCAACAACTCAGATGATCTCAAGAATATCACCTTGAGAGAAAAAAAAAAACTTACGGAAGAATACACATATAATTATTCTATTTATTTTATAAATGGGCATATAAAATTAAACAATATGCTGCTTAGAAATATAAACACATATGGTAAAATATAAGACAAGTTAATAATAAACAATAAATTCATGAGCATGGGTATTCAGATAACAGAAAAAGACTAGAGTGGAAAGAGGCACTCAAGACACTTTAAATTAAGTAATGAGTTTTTTTGTATGTTTTTTTAAAGTTTATTTATTCCATGAGTGAGAGACACAGACAAAGATATAGCACCCTAACAGGATCTTGATGCTGCAATCTACTCTCAGTCTCAGCTTAAGCCCAGTGTACTCTGTAAGGTCTCTGCATGCAAACTAGAAACCTTCCCACATGTTCTGCCTAACAAGAGTCCTGTTTTACTACTGCACCACCATCTGGCCTGCAAGATTTTTTAAAAATTTATGTATTAAGGGGCCAGCAGATGGCATAGTGATTAAAGCACTAGACGCCCACATGGTCAACTGAGGTTCAAGTCCCAGACTCAGCATCTTGAAACTTGTACCAGGCACACGTATGTGCCCAAAACCCTAAGAGGAGAATGGAGGAGAAAGGATTATGGTGTGACCATCCCCCCAGAGGGTGATTTCTCACTTTCTGTCTCTTTGGCAAGCACACACACCCTATAACAAAAAATCTCTCTCTCTCAAAAAATAATATATTAAAATCATTAATTTCTATCTATTTGATATTTATTAATAAACTACGATTTTTTAAGCATCAGTCAGACAATTTAGGAAAATTGTGTGTTAAGATAAAGATTACATCTCAGAATGAAGAAGGCAATTAGTGAATATTGCAGTAGGACAAATATTAATTTGGACACAATTAACTAAGCTAGAATTTTAAGAAAACAAAGAAATATTTATATGCTTCCAGAAGTACACACTAAGAGTGAATAAGGTTGCTAAGGAACTGGTACGGAACACGGATCAAAAGAAAGTTTTAAATACATCTATCACATTTAGTTTTTCTTGAATTTCCTCATTCCCCAATGTTGCCATGCCTTTTAAATTACTGAGGCAAAATCTTAACCATATCTCTACTCTACCAATGTCTTATGTTTAAGCCATATTATGAACATATAAGTCAATGAATTAGATTTTGATGACCAGCTATATGGAACAACTACATTTATAAAGATAAATATATCCAGAACACTCTAAGAAACTTCCAAAAGTTAGAACAATCGATTTTTTAAATCCTATGTTGTACAGTATCTAACAGCCTCTGAAAAAAAACAGAATATAATTTATGAATTTGGCACCAAGTAACAAAAAAAAAAAAAAAATGACTGAGTAGATTCTCATTTTGAGTCTTTACTAGAAACTTACTTCTTCAACCTGCCCATCTTCGGCTCCATCTTTCTCTTTGTCCTCCTCTTCATCATCATCATAGTCTTCTTCTTCATCTTCATCCTCTTCAGATGATGTATCCCCAGTTCCATCAACTTGTAACACCAATGGAGCTTGAGTCTGAGCAGGCTGGGCCTGTGGCTGCTGCTGCCCAGCTGCAGTTATCTGTGCTTGTGCTGGTGTAGGTGCTGCCACTGTTGTAGGTATAACTTGAGTCTTATTTCCTGTAAATAAGATTTGCTGAGGCTGGATGATGACACCTGTCTGTGGCGAAATCCCTCCAGGAAGAGGGGCCAGTACCTAAGGCAAAAGAAAAACAATATTAGGAACTAATAAAAAGATCAAAGTATGATACACAGAAACAGACCCAAATTCCGAAAATTCATCAGAAATGACCATCTCATACATCATTAAAACTACCACAGTACAAAAGGAGTGCTTAACTAGTGAACTGATACACTAAATATCCACTTCACATATATTGAGTATTCACTATGCATATGCTAACCATAAGGCCAAGAGTTATACAAGTTACTAGTTTGTTTGCTCGAGGTATGGAGAGGTTTCATACCTTGCCAAGTTTGCAGTCACCAAAAGGCAAAATTTGAAGCTAGGCTTTCTGGTCTAGAGCTTGTGCTATTACTATTATGCCATGATACCTCGACATGGACACTGAACCAGAAATCTCAAGACTCAGGTATAATTTTGCCTCAGATCAGATATGGATCTAGCAGAGGCAAATCATTTAACTAGTCTTGGCTTCTGTCATTTCACTGTTGGACTAGGACTAATGGCAGGCAACCCTGGCTATAAACTGGAACCACCTAGTGACTTAAAAGGAAATACTGGCACCTAGGCCCCACCCCTAATATTATTTTAATTGGTGAGATAAAAGCTATTACAGAGGCTGGCTCTTTAGCACAATGGTGGTGCACTACTCAGGGAGTCCAGGTCCTACAAGGTGACTGTAGTTCAAGTCCCTGGACTGATCTGTCAGAAGCAGGCCAGACACACATATGAGTGTCTATAATCCAACTTGCTGTAAGACTGGAAGAAGGGGATCATAGTATGACAAACTCTGTGGAGGGTGCCCTCTCTCCCAACTTCTTTCTTATATGTGTGTGCATGTGTACTCCATCACAAATAAGAAAGAAAACTATATTAACTTGAGCATTCCTAATTTCAAAATCCAAAACTAAAATTTGAAGCTTAAACATCATGATGTCAGAAGTAGAAAATTCCACACTCAACTTCATGTGAGAATCAGTCAAATCACTGCAATGCAAAAATAGTGTATAAAATTATCTTTAGGTTCTATGTATAATGTATACATGAAACATAATATGAATCTGGTATTTAGACTCAGGTCTCATGCCCAATATCTCATTATATACATACAAATATTCCCACCCCGAAAAAAAAAAAAAAAAATCCATGCCATCTAGTGGTGTGGTGAGTAAGGGAGCTGGATCCCACATGACTGACAGAATAGTTCAACTCTCAGACCTGGTGACTCGAGAAACACCAGGCTTGCCCAAAATTCTAAAAGGAAAAATGGAAGAGAAGGGATTGTGACATGACCACCCCCTGTGAAGAGTGCTGACTCGCACTTGTTCGTGCATGTGCGCATGCTCTCTCTCTCTCTCGGATTCTAAACAACCACAGCATTCTAAATAGAAGAATAACATGAGTGAAACACAGAAGTGACTGCAGCATATAATTTTGGAAAGCTAGAAGCAGCTAGATTAATACTCCTGCTCTGATCTTGCTTCTATCATACTATTTAATTGACATTTCTTCTCTCTCTTTTAAGTATGTAAGCTTCCCAAGAAAATAACTATTCTTCTCTCTCAAGCAAGTGCATGCACCTGCTAGTTAAAAAAAAAAAAAAATCCAAAATTTAAAATATTTCTGGTCCCAAGCATCTTGGATAAGTGATACCCAAGCTGTAGTTGTATTTAAAGCTCCCAGGTTATCTTTAGCATGCAACCACAGCTGAAATCACCATATTGAATAATTCTGAAAGTTTCTTCCAGGTTCTGCACTTGAGGATTCTAAACTAAATCACAACTCAAAATGAACATATGAACAAATATTAACTACATGTATTATAATTTAACATGTTTGCAATTATAGTTATTTAAATAAAAAGCACTCAATGACTGTTACTTGCCATTAGGTTCAAGGAGACAAAGAATTTCTTTTAAAGAAGATCATAGATTAATGACACAAGAAATAAAGCAGTGACAACCCTAACAACTAAAACATGAAACAGAAGCATGACATGGTGTTTTAAGAACACAGGAAAGGGCACCAAATTCAGCTTAGCAGATAAGGTATGGTCAGAAAGCCTTCCCAACAGGTAATACTTAAGTTTTTGTTTGTACTTTAAGGAGATTAGCCAGGCTTTTCTTTTTAGTTGGTTTGTTTGGGAGAAGTAGAGGTTGTAAGGTGAAAGACCAAAGGCAGCATTCTAAATAGAAGACCACCACCAAGTGAAACTCAGAAGTGACCGCAGCATATAATTTTGGAAAGCTACAAGTAGCTGGATTAATATTACTGCTCTGATCTTGTTTCTACCATACTATTCTATTGACATTGTGTCTCTCTCTTTTAAGTATGTACGTTCCCCACGAAAAGAACCATTCCTCTCTTTCATCTTTGTCCACACTGCATGATAATGGCAGACACGTAAATGTAACTATTTGTTAACTTTGATCTAAACATCAGCTAAAGCAAGTAACTGAGAGCATGACAAGAAATAAATCTGAAGAGTTCAGAGTTTGAAACAAGATCCCCCAAAAGATCTTATAAGCTCTCTATGGTATTTAGACTTTTTCCAACAGGTAATGAGAAGTCATTATGGACTTCAAGATTTTTAGAAAGGTCAGGTTAAGAGGGTATAAGGCTAGAGGCAGTGAAATTAGTTAAGAGGGTAATACATGCCTAGTCACTGTGGTGCAGTGGTAAAGCCACATGCCCTGCAAGGCTGGAAGCCATATAGTTGACCAAAGATGCCTGGTTCAGCCTGAAAACACTCTGGATGTACACATGCACATAGGAGCCCAGGTTCCCGAGAAGCTGGAGGGCTAAGGAAAAGGGATGATGGTGCAACAAAACCTTGTCAAGGGTGCTACTCTCTTTCCTTCTTTGTGTGAGCATGTGCGTATGTAGTAAAAAAAAGATAATACAGTATTTTTAATAACAAATTATGATAGTATGAACTAAGAAAATGACAAAAGATTGAGACAACTACTTATAAATATATTAAGAACCTATAAACATGGCAAAACTGCAACCCAATAAAAGGATGATAGGACTCAGTAATACCTTGGACACTGGCAATAAAGGAAAGTGAAGGTTCTAACACTCCCTTCCCTTTCAGAAAACCACCAGCATCATGAAACTAGTCATGCCTGCATTGTTTACTCCTAAATCCCCCATCCCTTGTGAAGACCCTAAAATTCAGGTACTACTTGTTGAATGAGACCAAACTTTGGAGGTTGGACAAAGCATTGCCACTATAACAAAAAAGCACATTTAGGGAGACTATGAAGTTGATCAGAAGAGACAATAATTCTGTTTTAAACATGTTGAATGTTAAGTTTAGCTGTGAAGTATGCACAAGAAATTTGTAACAATCAGGGTCTGTAGTACTGGAGAATATAAGGCTCTACATATAAAGTCTTGGGAAAAGAGAAGGGAACCACCAAAGGAATGAATAAACAACAACTCCCCCAAGGTGATCATTACTAAGATTCTCTTACCTGTTGTATAACAGGAGCTTGTACTCCACCAGGTTGCATTTGTGGAATAACCTGTTGTTGTAGAACCACTGACTGCTGAGGCTGAAAGATGTATTGGGCACCATTGGCTGCTCTGACCACCTGAAGAAGCTGGCCTGAAGAAAAAAGTACATATTACAAGTTATCATTTTAACAGCGACCATCTCAAAATAAGTGAATTCATATTGAATGTCAAACCACTGAAGGCCCTAGAAATGATCGAGTAGAAAGTCTAATAATTTTATAAAAGGCTATCAGCCACCCATAGTAGACTATACTCCTTACCTCCCCTGACTCCCGAGTTCAAATGAAGTAATTAAAAATGTTTTATTTTCAATGTTTATCATCCTCATTCGAGTTTTCCAGAAAGATTTTTAAAAGATTATGGGACTTCATTAAAAGCAAAAACTATCTTCACTAACATGATAAGAGTCAAGAAAGAGCAAAGATCAGACATTTCAGGGGCTGTTTTAAAGCTTTAAAGAAGGAAAAACATAAAAGTTCATTTAATACCTTGAATCAGAGCACCTTAGTACTTTGCAACAAAATTGCATTAAAGCAATAAAAGTTTGTTGAACCAGTCATCATCTCCACTATCTTATACAAAGAATCAAATCACTCTCATACATTGCTTTGGATGAGTCAGAATCTTGAATTCATTAAAAAGTACATAATCTTACTAATATATGTAGCAAGGAAAGCAAACCTCTGTCATTTATTTTTATGTATAAATTAAGAAAATAACAAAAGGGGCCAATAGGTAGCATGGTGGTTAGGGCGCTGGACTTTTACATGATCAACCATGGTTCAAGTTTAAGACCTGAAAGCTTGGGGGGAAAAAAAAAAAACTATCTAGGTGTGTGTGTACATGCCTAAAACCTAAGACAAGAATGAAGAAGGGATTGCAGTATGACCATTTTCCCCCTCTTCAGGGGATCATTTCTCACTTTTCCTCTCTCTGTCTCTCTCAGGTAAGCACGTGCCCTATAGTAAGAACCGAAAAAAAAGGAAAATTAACAAAAAAATTATATAATCAAGATTACAGAGAGATTCATATGAACAGGGGCCAGCAAGTGGAGTAGTGGTTAAGAGACTGACTGACGTGGTCGACCATGGTTTGAGTCCTGGACCTGGTGGCCTAAAACTTATACCAGGCACGTTGAGTGCACTCCGAAGATCCCAATGGGAAAGTGGAGGAAAAGGGATTGCCTTGTGGCCCCCACGGATGTGACTTTTCACTTTCTGTCTCTCCAGCGAGCACATGCACCCTATAACAAAACAAAACAAAACAAAAACCCAAGTTTCTATGTACAAATTTTTCAAACACTAATGCAACAAAAATCATGAACTAGACAGACATGGCTTTTTGTCAATCAATGAAAAGATACTATATATAATAGCATGCAATAAATTTGCTCCTAAGACACTGTAAGATTTTGGTATCACAAATTAATTCAAATAAATCAAGTTTAACTTATTTGTCAGGTTAAATATGCTAACTAAACTAAATAAGAATTTCTATACACTCACACTTCATTTAATAATAGGGCTCTTATTCACAGATCAAAAACTCAAGTGCAATTCTCATCTTCTCTACTGCATCATCAACAATGATTATGGTACCAAGTGCTATACCCCTCAGATAAGGTTATTTTATTTCTTAAATCAAATAGTAAAAGAAATTTTAGTATTCTTTTTTACTTTTTTTTTTGGAGAGATTTTTGCCGTAGGGCGCGTGTGCTCGCCAGGCAGAGAGACAGAAAGCTAGAAATCACCCCTCAGGGGGGATGGCCATACCGCAATCCCTTCTCCTCCATTCTCCTCTCGGGATCTTGGGCACGCACGCATGCACACATACCCGGCGTGAGTTTAAGCCACGGGGTCAGGGATTCAAACAGTGGTCGACTACATGGGAGTCCAGCGACATAGCCATTAGGCCAACTGCAGGTCCCCGAAATTTTAGTATTCTGTCTTTCAGTGAAGGCAAAACATAAAAGGCTTCATGGTACAATTTTCTGAATTACAAATAATTCTATTATTACTAATCACCTGAATTCGTCAAAATCTGCTGAACAGGAGTCACACCTGCAGGGAGTGCCAAGGTAGCAGCTGTAGCAGCAGCACTCTGAAAAACAAAAACAAGGGGAAAAACTCAAAATCATGTATGCACATAACAATATCTTGGTTTACTGTTAATATTTTAGTAGTGTATAAATTTTTTTGTTTGACATGTACTACAATAAAAAGTTCTAACAGTAAGACTAATCCTATTCTCTAAAATGGTATAGCATAAGCAAGATCATGTAGACTAAATGACCTACTTAATTATTTAAAGCACTTAAACAGAACAATAAAATTTGTTACTCTTTCTAGAGAATGTGCTTTAAGGATTTCTCACAGGAGGTATTTTTTTTTTCTCCCCCTTCAATCTTCTTTAAGGTATGTACTGTCTCCCCAGCCTGTAAATAATCTATGCATTTTTAGAAACCATACATTAATAACAAGGCTATATAACATATGACATAACCATTCCATTAATGCTTCCTTTCTCACTGTTTCTTTAGCCCCAATTCCTCGTTATCATTTAATATACTTAAGGCCAAATGATCCTCATTTAATTTTTTCTTTTTTTAGGTTTTTGTCATAGGGTATATATGCTTGCTAGAAAAAAAGAGGGAAAGTGAACAGAAGTGACTGCAGCATATAATTTTGGAAAGCTAGAAGCAGCTAGATTAATACTCCTGCTCTGATCTTGCTTCTATCATACTATTTAATTGACATTTCTTCTCTCTCTTTTAAGTATGTAAGCTTCCCAAGAAAATAACTATTCTTCTCTCTCAAGCAAGTGCATGCACCTGCTAGTTAAAAAAAAAAAAAAATCCAAAATTTAAAATATTTCTGGTCCCAAGCATCTTGGATAAGTGATACCCAAGCTGTAGTTGTATTTAAAGCTCCCAGGTTATCTTTAGCATGCAACCACAGCTGAAATCACCATATTGAATAATTCTGAAAGTTTCTTCCAGGTTCTGCACTTGAGGATTCTAAACTAAATCACAACTCAAAATGAACATATGAACAAATATTAACTACATGTATTATAATTTAACATGTTTGCAATTATAGTTATTTAAATAAAAAGCACTCAATGACTGTTACTTGCCATTAGGTTCAAGGAGACAAAGAATTTCTTTTAAAGAAGATCATAGATTAATGACACAAGAAATAAAGCAGTGACAACCCTAACAACTAAAACATGAAACAGAAGCATGACATGGTGTTTTAAGAACACAGGAAAGGGCACCAAATTCAGCTTAGCAGATAAGGTATGGTCAGAAAGCCTTCCCAACAGGTAATACTTAAGTTTTTGTTTGTACTTTAAGGAGATTAGCCAGGCTTTTCTTTTTAGTTGGTTTGTTTGGGAGAAGTAGAGGTTGTAAGGTGAAAGACCAAAGGCAGCATTCTAAATAGAAGACCACCACCAAGTGAAACTCAGAAGTGACCGCAGCATATAATTTTGGAAAGCTACAAGTAGCTGGATTAATATTACTGCTCTGATCTTGTTTCTACCATACTATTCTATTGACATTGTGTCTCTCTCTTTTAAGTATGTACGTTCCCCACGAAAAGAACCATTCCTCTCTTTCATCTTTGTCCACACTGCATGATAATGGCAGACACGTAAATGTAACTATTTGTTAACTTTGATCTAAACATCAGCTAAAGCAAGTAACTGAGAGCATGACAAGAAATAAATCTGAAGAGTTCAGAGTTTGAAACAAGATCCCCCAAAAGATCTTATAAGCTCTCTATGGTATTTAGACTTTTTCCAACAGGTAATGAGAAGTCATTATGGACTTCAAGATTTTTAGAAAGGTCAGGTTAAGAGGGTATAAGGCTAGAGGCAGTGAAATTAGTTAAGAGGGTAATACATGCCTAGTCACTGTGGTGCAGTGGTAAAGCCACATGCCCTGCAAGGCTGGAAGCCATATAGTTGACCAAAGATGCCTGGTTCAGCCTGAAAACACTCTGGATGTACACATGCACATAGGAGCCCAGGTTCCCGAGAAGCTGGAGGGCTAAGGAAAAGGGATGATGGTGCAACAAAACCTTGTCAAGGGTGCTACTCTCTTTCCTTCTTTGTGTGAGCATGTGCGTATGTAGTAAAAAAAAGATAATACAGTATTTTTAATAACAAATTATGATAGTATGAACTAAGAAAATGACAAAAGATTGAGACAACTACTTATAAATATATTAAGAACCTATAAACATGGCAAAACTGCAACCCAATAAAAGGATGATAGGACTCAGTAATACCTTGGACACTGGCAATAAAGGAAAGTGAAGGTTCTAACACTCCCTTCCCTTTCAGAAAACCACCAGCATCATGAAACTAGTCATGCCTGCATTGTTTACTCCTAAATCCCCCATCCCTTGTGAAGACCCTAAAATTCAGGTACTACTTGTTGAATGAGACCAAACTTTGGAGGTTGGACAAAGCATTGCCACTATAACAAAAAAGCACATTTAGGGAGACTATGAAGTTGATCAGAAGAGACAATAATTCTGTTTTAAACATGTTGAATGTTAAGTTTAGCTGTGAAGTATGCACAAGAAATTTGTAACAATCAGGGTCTGTAGTACTGGAGAATATAAGGCTCTACATATAAAGTCTTGGGAAAAGAGAAGGGAACCACCAAAGGAATGAATAAACAACAACTCCCCCAAGGTGATCATTACTAAGATTCTCTTACCTGTTGTATAACAGGAGCTTGTACTCCACCAGGTTGCATTTGTGGAATAACCTGTTGTTGTAGAACCACTGACTGCTGAGGCTGAAAGATGTATTGGGCACCATTGGCTGCTCTGACCACCTGAAGAAGCTGGCCTGAAGAAAAAAGTACATATTACAAGTTATCATTTTAACAGCGACCATCTCAAAATAAGTGAATTCATATTGAATGTCAAACCACTGAAGGCCCTAGAAATGATCGAGTAGAAAGTCTAATAATTTTATAAAAGGCTATCAGCCACCCATAGTAGACTATACTCCTTACCTCCCCTGACTCCCGAGTTCAAATGAAGTAATTAAAAATGTTTTATTTTCAATGTTTATCATCCTCATTCGAGTTTTCCAGAAAGATTTTTAAAAGATTATGGGACTTCATTAAAAGCAAAAACTATCTTCACTAACATGATAAGAGTCAAGAAAGAGCAAAGATCAGACATTTCAGGGGCTGTTTTAAAGCTTTAAAGAAGGAAAAACATAAAAGTTCATTTAATACCTTGAATCAGAGCACCTTAGTACTTTGCAACAAAATTGCATTAAAGCAATAAAAGTTTGTTGAACCAGTCATCATCTCCACTATCTTATACAAAGAATCAAATCACTCTCATACATTGCTTTGGATGAGTCAGAATCTTGAATTCATTAAAAAGTACATAATCTTACTAATATATGTAGCAAGGAAAGCAAACCTCTGTCATTTATTTTTATGTATAAATTAAGAAAATAACAAAAGGGGCCAATAGGTAGCATGGTGGTTAGGGCGCTGGACTTTTACATGATCAACCATGGTTCAAGTTTAAGACCTGAAAGCTTGGGGGGAAAAAAAAAAAACTATCTAGGTGTGTGTGTACATGCCTAAAACCTAAGACAAGAATGAAGAAGGGATTGCAGTATGACCATTTTCCCCCTCTTCAGGGGATCATTTCTCACTTTTCCTCTCTCTGTCTCTCTCAGGTAAGCACGTGCCCTATAGTAAGAACCGAAAAAAAAGGAAAATTAACAAAAAAATTATATAATCAAGATTACAGAGAGATTCATATGAACAGGGGCCAGCAAGTGGAGTAGTGGTTAAGAGACTGACTGACGTGGTCGACCATGGTTTGAGTCCTGGACCTGGTGGCCTAAAACTTATACCAGGCACGTTGAGTGCACTCCGAAGATCCCAATGGGAAAGTGGAGGAAAAGGGATTGCCTTGTGGCCCCCACGGATGTGACTTTTCACTTTCTGTCTCTCCAGCGAGCACATGCACCCTATAACAAAACAAAACAAAACAAAAACCCAAGTTTCTATGTACAAATTTTTCAAACACTAATGCAACAAAAATCATGAACTAGACAGACATGGCTTTTTGTCAATCAATGAAAAGATACTATATATAATAGCATGCAATAAATTTGCTCCTAAGACACTGTAAGATTTTGGTATCACAAATTAATTCAAATAAATCAAGTTTAACTTATTTGTCAGGTTAAATATGCTAACTAAACTAAATAAGAATTTCTATACACTCACACTTCATTTAATAATAGGGCTCTTATTCACAGATCAAAAACTCAAGTGCAATTCTCATCTTCTCTACTGCATCATCAACAATGATTATGGTACCAAGTGCTATACCCCTCAGATAAGGTTATTTTATTTCTTAAATCAAATAGTAAAAGAAATTTTAGTATTCTTTTTTACTTTTTTTTTTGGAGAGATTTTTGCCGTAGGGCGCGTGTGCTCGCCAGGCAGAGAGACAGAAAGCTAGAAATCACCCCTCAGGGGGGATGGCCATACCGCAATCCCTTCTCCTCCATTCTCCTCTCGGGATCTTGGGCACGCACGCATGCACACATACCCGGCGTGAGTTTAAGCCACGGGGTCAGGGATTCAAACAGTGGTCGACTACATGGGAGTCCAGCGACATAGCCATTAGGCCAACTGCAGGTCCCCGAAATTTTAGTATTCTGTCTTTCAGTGAAGGCAAAACATAAAAGGCTTCATGGTACAATTTTCTGAATTACAAATAATTCTATTATTACTAATCACCTGAATTCGTCAAAATCTGCTGAACAGGAGTCACACCTGCAGGGAGTGCCAAGGTAGCAGCTGTAGCAGCAGCACTCTGAAAAACAAAAACAAGGGGAAAAACTCAAAATCATGTATGCACATAACAATATCTTGGTTTACTGTTAATATTTTAGTAGTGTATAAATTTTTTTGTTTGACATGTACTACAATAAAAAGTTCTAACAGTAAGACTAATCCTATTCTCTAAAATGGTATAGCATAAGCAAGATCATGTAGACTAAATGACCTACTTAATTATTTAAAGCACTTAAACAGAACAATAAAATTTGTTACTCTTTCTAGAGAATGTGCTTTAAGGATTTCTCACAGGAGGTATTTTTTTTTTCTCCCCCTTCAATCTTCTTTAAGGTATGTACTGTCATCACAGCCTGTAAATAATCTATGCATTTTTAGAAACCATACATTAATAACAAGGCTATATAACATATGACATAACCATTCCATTAATGCTTCCTTTCTCACTGTTTCTTTAGCCCCAATTCCTCGTTATCATTTAATATACTTAAGGCCAAATGATCCTCATTTAATTTTTTCTTTTTTTAGGTTTCTGTCATAGGGTATATATGCTTGCTAGAAAAAAAGAGGGAAAGTGAGAAATCCCCCTTCCCACCCTCCCACCCCGCAAGACAATGGTCACACTGCCATCATTTCTCCTCTATTCTCTTCCTGGCATTGTGGGCACATGCGCCTGGCACGATTTTCAAGCCACAGGGTCCAGAGTTCACCCCAGTTGGGCATGTGGGAGTCTAGTATCTTAACCAATATGCCACCTACTGGACCTCATTGAATGTTTTTTAACTTTTTAAATTTCTTCTGAAATCAACAAGTCTCCATAGAAAACACTGTATCAGAAAACTTCACTTGGAGTATAGCTGGCAATTTTTGTAAGATGTCTTATTACCAAAAAAGGGGGAGAGTGTGTGTTGGCAATATATTCTAGATGAAACATGTATTATTAACAACATAAAAACTCAAAATCTTAAGAAAAGCCATATACTTTCCTTTCCACATTTTAAAATGCAGTTAATGACATTTAAGTTATGAAAATTTATGTGGGATTATAGTCTCAATTTCCTTAAATTCTGGATAAATTCTTGATTTACTGGTTCTGAAGATTCTTTTCTCCTCTTACCTACCACACCACTGCCCACACCAGCTCTAAAACCACATAATTCCATTTTTTCAATTACGTGCTTTAAATGTTTTCATGTATTTCACTATAACTATATTGAGCTATGCTACATTTTAAAATTTCTTTCCCTCTTCACTTTTTTAAGATACCAAGCTTACATACCTTCAATCCAATCTATGTATTTCTCAGAAATAATTGGATAACTGTGGGTTTTTTTTTTTTTTTTTTTTTTGGAGAGGTTTTTGCTACAGGGCGCGTGCACTCGCCAGACAGAGAGAGACATAGAGACAGAAAGCGAGAAATCACCCCCCAGGGGTTATAGTCACGCTGCAATCCCTTCTCCTCCATTCTCCTCTCGGGATCTTAGGCACGCACGCAAACGCGCCCAGCATGAGTTTAAAGCCACCCAGGTCCGGGACGCGAACCGTGGTCAACTATGTGGGAGTCCAGCAACATAGCCATTACGCCATCTGCTGGTTCCCAGATAAGTGTGTTTTGAAAATGCTAATGTCAGGACCAGCAGTTAGCTATGTTGCTGGACTCAGACGACCGCGGTTCGTGCCCCAGACCTGGTGGCTTAAAACTCACGACGGGTGCATGTGCGTACGTGCCCAAGATCCCGAGAAGAGAAGGGATTGCGGCGTGGCCATCCCCCCTGGGGGTTGATTTCTCGCTTTCTGTCTCTCTGTCTCTCTCTCTGTCTGGCGAGCACATGTGCCCAATAGCAAAAACCTCTCAAAAAAAAAAAAAAAAGCTAATGCCAGAGAAATACATGAAACTTTGAAAACTCTATTAAACAGATTAATGATACAACTACTATTTAATCTGGGCTCCAAACAGAGCATTCTTTTTTTTTTTTTTTAAGAAGTATTTATTTAACTTCATTTACTTATTTATTTATTTATTTTAATATGACCAGAGAGACAGAGTGAGCTAACTAGAGAGAGAGAGAGAGAGAGAGAGAGAGAGAGAGAAAGTAAGAAAGCAAGCTGCCAGGTCCAGGATTCAAACCACGGTCAGCCAAGTGGGAGTCCAGTGCCCTCAAGTACCACACTACCTGTCAGTCCTTCCAGGTGTAGCATTCTAAGAAAATATGCTTGTTGCCATTTGGCAGGCCTAAGTCATTTCTATTGAGCCTGAAATTCCCATGTCTCCAGAATCCAGCTATGGCCCACCAGTTTCATTCATTTTAAGTTCGATACCCAATCATACCATTTTTTAAAAATCTTGTCTATACAGGCAAGTGAAAAGAAATCTAAGTTTAAGAAACATATCGATGACCACTTACTTTGACAAATATTTAAGAATATTAAATGTCCATAAATCATATTCTTTATGGTAACAGATCTTACTACTGGCAAACTGATCTTGTAGTTTCTGTATAGTTTATATTATGTAACAACTACTGCAATCTCTCACATATTTGAGTTGCTCAATAAACATCTGTTGAGTCATATAACCTAAACAAACCATCTTTTATTTAATGACCACTGAAAATTCTTCCTTGTATTTTATGATCAGACCAAACATAAATAATGCATTAAACCAAACATTTCATAAAGAGAAGTAAAAACACTGGCTTGATGCAAGTTCTCTGAAATAGCCTTCTGCCTAATATTGTATTATCACTATTCATATTTTATAAAACTGTATTTTTCCAATGTATTCAGGCATAAAACACACAGAGTCACTAGAAAAATCAAAACCAGGCCTAGTCTGGATGGCACAAACAGGAGGAGGGCAACACTGTGAGGGAGGCCTAGCCTCATTTCCTAGTACAACCTCAACAGATCAGGTGGTGGTGCTTACCTGTAGTTTCTAGCTACTGGGAAGGTAGAACACAAGGACTATGACAGGGCAAGACACTGTCAAAAATACCTCTCTCCCCCTCCCTTCCACCCTCTATCTCTAATAAGAAAGAAAAAAATAGAAAAAAAAAATAAAACTATACTGTCTTTGAATCAGGTATAATGCAAACTAACCTAAGTTTAACACACACTTTTTTTTTGGAGAGGTTTTTGCTATAGGGCACGTGTGCTGGCCAGAAAGACAGACAGAGAGAGAGAGACAGAAAGCGAGAAATCAGCTCCCAGGGCAGATGGCCATGCCACAATCTCTCCTCCTCCATTCTCCTCTTGGGATCCTGGACATGCACGCACATGCGCCAACATGAGTTTGAGCCACCGAGTCTAAGACTTGAACCGCGGTCGACTACATGGAAGTCCAGCGATGTAGCCATTATGCCATCTGCTGATCCCCCCCACACACTTTTTTATTGGTAGGGTCTATACTGGTTACATTCCAGAATATGTAAAATACATGAAGGAAATACTGACTAAAAACATCAAAGTAACACACTAAAATACATATTAAATTTGTTTTATTTGTCCATTTTACTTATTCAAGTATGATCACCTATGATCTCTTTAAATATACAAGTTCTTTAGAATCAAGAAGATCCAACTTGTAAGAGATGGACCACTGATTTTACCCTGGTCTCTTTAAATACAATTATTAATTAAAAATTCTCTCTTGTAACACCTAAAATTCTTTTTTTTTTTTTTTGGGAGTTTTTTTTGCTATAGGGCATGTGTGCTCACCAGAGAGAAAGAGAGAGAGACAGAGAGACAGAAAGCAAGAAATCACCCCCCAGGGAGGATGTCCATGCTGCAATCCCTTCTCCTCCATTCTCCCCTCAGGATCTTGGGCACGCACGCACACGTGCCCGGCATGAGTTTAAGCCACTGGGTCCAGGACTCAAACCACGGTCAACTACATGGGAGTTCAGCAACATAGCCATTATGCTAACTGCTGGTCCCAACATTTAAAATTCTTTAAAAGGGCCTACTGCAGGTGATCTGCCAAATGCTTCTCTTTTAAAATTATATGAGTTATTTCCTGGAAAAATTAGTAATGACAACTGCAAAATGAACTCGAGAGTCAAACTGTAAGGGTAAAGACCAAATAATTCTAAGGGTAAAGACCAAATAATTCAAGAAGCTAGCAGGTGGTGTAATAGTTAAGGCACTAGACTCCCACATGGTCAAACACAGTTCAAGTCCCAGATCTAGTGGCTCATATTCTCTCTCTCTCTTTCTCTCTCTCTCTCTCATGAGCACACACATGACCGGCAACCAATTAAAAAATAATAACAATAGGGACTAGCTGATGGCATGGGGTTAAGGGTGCCAGACTCCCACAGGGCCGACCATGGTTCGAGTTCCAGACCTGACAGCTTGTTTTTGCGTGCGGGCACACACACATGCGCTCTCTCCCTCTGTCCCTCTCTGGTCTAATTAATTAATTAATTAATTTACTTATTTATTTGAATAAATAAATCAAGTTAAATAAAGTAACTCTTTAAAATAACAATAATGGGGGATCAGGAAATGGCATAATGGTTACACTGCTAGACTCCCACAGTCAACTATGGTTCGAATCCCAGACCCAGCGGCTTAAAACTCACACTGGGCGCATGTGTGTGCGTGCGCCCGAGATCCTGAGAGGAGAATGGAGGAGAAAGAACTGCAGTGTAGCAATCCTCCCTGGGGGGTGATTTCTTTGTCTTTCTCTCTCTAGCAAGCACACACACCCTACAGCAAAAATCTCTCTGGGACCAGCAGTTGGTATAATTGCTGTCACTGGACTCCCATGTAATCAACTGTGATTCAAGTCCCAGACCCAGTGGCTTAAATTCATACCAGGCATGTGTGCGTGCATGCCCAAGATCCTGAGAGAAGAATGGAGGGGGAGGGATTGCGGTGTGGCCACCCTCACTGGGGGGGTGATTGCTCGCTTTCTGTCTATCTTTCTGGCTAGCGCACACACCCAATGGCAAAAACCTCTCAAAAAAACCCCAATAATAATAATGATAAATAAAATTAAATAAATAACGGGACCAGCAGTTAGCGTAATGGCTATGTCGCTGGACTCCCACGTAGTCGACCGCGGTTCACGTCCCGGACCCAGTGGCTTAAAACTCATGCCGGGCGCGTGTGCATGCGTGCCCAAGATCCCAAGAGGAGAATGGAGGAGAAGGGATTACAGCGTGGCCACCTCCGCTGGGGGGTGATTTTTTGCTGTCTGTCTGTCTCTGTCTGGCGAGCGCCCACGCCCTATAGCAAAAACTCTCCAAAAACAAACAAACAGACCAAAAAAATAAAAATAAATAATTATTTTAAAAAAGAAATTCAGAGTCTTAGACTTAAAATAGAATTTTCTGAATAAAACATTTTTGTGAAAAATGACAGGCATAGAATTTTGTGATTATCACACAAGTGAATTTATTCTAATAAAGTACAAATACAGACCCTAGGTAACTATGAATTAATAATCTGCTATCACATAGAGTTGTAACTGTGCCAAGGAATGGATTTGTGATGTTGGTGATGTGTAGGAGGAAATCATTCATTTAACAGTTGTGCCCTGCTTCTGATCTGGCTTATAAACATTAAATGAGCTCTGTAGTTCACTACTTATTATTCACAAAATATATGCAATTTCTGTAAATGTTGCTTTTTGGTTAAAAAACATCTAGATCTGAAAATAAATCCCACTGCACACTAGTTAGATAGGCTAAGCAATTTTTTTCAGAAGTGATTCTTACCTTTAAATTAAAAACGTGGCGTAAATTAAAAATGAAATCTAAGAACCGAGACACCATATTCTGACATTAACGGTCTGTATGGTTTAAACAGAGTAATGAGAAGCCTTTTGTGAGAAAGGCTTGAACAACTAGTCAGACTTTTAATAAAGCTTTAAGGATATAAACATTTTCTAGTGATACGAAGAGATTCTTTAAATTTTACAGACACATTAACTACATACATCTGATGAGAACAATTAGATGGCCTACATGTAATTTGAATATCTGGGGACTTGTGAAATTTATGGCTATCCATCACAAATAAAACTGTTATTTCAACTAGTTAAAATGTATTTTATGGTAGCAATTTACACATAATAATAAAGTATATTTTAAAAGTTTTTTTTCAAGAGAGATTTTTTCCCCCCACTGTAGGGTACATGTGCTCACAAGACAGATACAGACAGACAGAGACACAGAAAGCGAGAAATCACACCCCATGGGAAACAGCCACATGAAATCCCTTTTCCTCCATTCTCCTTTCGAGATTTTGGGCATGCATGCACACACGCCAGGCTTGAGTTTCAAGCTGCTGGGTCTGGGACTTGAACTGTGGTTGATACAGCAATGTAACCATTACGCCACCTGCTGGTCCTCAGAGAAAATATTTGATTTAATATTTTCTTAATAAAATATTTAAATATTTGATTTTGAAGTGTTCTCTCTCTTGTTTTTTAGTTTGCCAGAGGACACATGCATTCACAGGAGTGGGAAAGGGAGAGAGGAGAAGCCTTGTCCTTGATTTCTCCACCTTCTTGGGAATTTGGGCATGCACGTACACATGCCTGGGGTGTTTTTCAGGCCACTAGGCCTGGGATTCAACCACACAGATCAGGCTCCCTTAACCACCAGGCCATGGAGCTGGCCAATACTTATTATCTTAAACTATCTGAATAGTTCACTTAGAACTCAGCATTCTTGACGTTTTTGCCATTAACAGATTTCCTAACTTGAACTATACTTGATGTAACAGATTTGGTACATCCCCTAAATCTATTTTTCAAAAATAGTAGGAGATAAAGTAGCCTCCAAAAAGCATCATTCATTTGGTATTTTTTTTTTCTAAACAGAAAACTGCCTAATTTTATGTATCTTAATGTTTATGTATCAAGCTAAACTTTAGGCTTGCTGCCAAATCCAATATCCAGGAAACAAAATAACCTTTTAGTTCAAGATTTCAATAAACTTAAAGTTGGTAATATGCAGCACACCTAGGTGTAATCACAATTTGAGATAAAATAAGTAAAGCCGAAGTACTACATTCTCAGTCTTACCATGTTTGATGCATTCATATGTTGTATTAGCTTGGAATCAGGAACAATAACTTGTGGTGCTGTGGCTACAAAAAAATTAGCATATAAGCAATCAAAGAACCATGAAGCTATTTCATAATTACAAGTACTTATAAGGCTGAAAACTTTTTTCATATGTTCTGCATTGATGTACTCTCAAGCAATGGATACTTCAAAATGTAAATTCTTATAGCAAATAACAGTGGGATACATCTAACCTACACTGGAAAAACATCAATCAAAAAGTGACAAAGTGACAAAGGTTTCAAGGAATTTAGAAACATGAAAGAGTGAGATACTTAATACCTTAAATGTACATTTCTGTTCATTTTCAATAAAACTGTAAATTTTGGGACATAATTTAACCGTGTATTACTAACTCAGCATTAACTGTATACTATAATCCATTATTGGAATGAGTTTCTAATCCATTAAGATTAAATTCAAAAAGTTCTCAGTAGTTTATTTTAAAATCTACATAGTCATTTTCTCCCAGTTATACAGTTGCCAGAATCATGTTTTCCATCTACTGCTTAAAAAGTACAATTCAAAAATAATGGCAAATGCTACCTAAATGTGAAAGGAATTAACTGTTTGATTCCGCAAATTTCAGAGAATAAACAGATAATCCCATTATCTTAGTATTCTCTGAGTGAAGAAAATCAAATTTCAATTTATGATGACCTAAAATCCTACTGCCAGGCTTGAAGGCAGTAGGAGGAACAGTCATCAAGAAAGATTAAAAAGATAAAATTATTTGATACCAGTTATAGATTAATATCAGGTACTAAAAGTCTTACTTGTATATACAGCAAAATAACCTAAATAGAACTTTCCTCCATGTATCACTACAAATTCTACGTGTCTCTCTTTTTCTCATGAAGAAACTGGGTAACTAAACGTTTACCTTAGAATAAACTCATTTAACTTCACTTTCCCCTCAAGTAACAACATTCACAAAATAAGAATGTCCAGGGAGGTTTACAATAAACAGATGTTTGTCATGAGAGGAAATACTTGCTACAGGTAATGGATCAAGATTCTTAGCCTTCGTAGTCATCAAAAAAAAGGCACAGATAATCCTCAAATGTGAAATGGAGCCCAAATATTCCTCAGCTGTGAAATGGAGACAAGGACTACTTCATAAAGCCCTTACTAGCTGCCAATGAAACAGTATACAGTGCAAAGCACTACAGACAGTCTTCTTACCTTAAATAAAGGTATGTTATATATCTATTCTTGACTTAGAAATCTAATTCAATTTAGATTTACACAAATAAATGACTATAGAATTGAAGTTTTAGATGACAAAAGTATAGCCACAAAACTCCACCAGTATTTAAGATGCATTTTAAAAATTAAACCCAAACATATGTTGAAAAAGACACGTTTCATAAAGAAAGTAGGTAACTACTTTAACATATAAAATAATGAAGCCCTTATAGATTTGAATTATTTTAGGAAATCAACCAGTCTTTTCAAAAGAAAATTTTAATTTAAATTATTTGAATATCAAATTTTCAACTAGCAAAACCTGTCTATCATTACTACACAAATACGCCCTTGGCTGGGCTCTCTCTTCCTCTATCTTAAGGCTTATCAAGCAACTCTTAAAAATAAGATCCAAGAATCCCAAAGCATTTCTCTCCTTTCAAAATAAATATTTTAACTTCTAGGTCAGATGTAGGAAAACAAATTCAGTCTCACCTTGCTGTGATGCAGGAATAAGAACCTGCTGGGTCTGCGCTTGCTGAGGTACCGTCTGCTGAGGTTGGGTTTGCTGATGGTGGTGGTGGTGGTGATGCTGCTGCTGCTGAGGCTGATGCTGCTGTTGAACTGGCAATAAAAGCTGCTGCTCATCTGAATGAAATCCATCTACTGCTCTAGACTGCATTAGTTTATTCTCCCACAACTAAGGCAAAGAATAACAAAGATTTCTAAGTTAAAGTCCGGGAAGATAATACTGGACTTAGAAACTCCTTACATTTTAAAACTGATACAGCCACAAAAATACAAAAAATCTAAGTTTTACCCAACTGTAAACTGTAAACACAATTTTTTTTCAAAAAAAGGTATCAAACCTCATTTTTTGCCACTTTCAGAGTACTGAAGGATTTTTTTACCTTTAGTAACTCCAATAAACTAAAACCCCCTAAATTTTAAAACCTAACCCAGCCACAAAAATACAAAAAATCTAAGTTTTACCCAACTGTAAACTGTAAACACAATTTTTTTTCAAAAAAAGGTATCAAACCTCATTTTTTGCCACTTTCAGAGTACTGAAGGATTTTTTTACCTTTAGTAACTCCAATAAACTTTCTATAGTAATTCCTTAACAACCAGATACTATTTAGTCAAGAGTTTCATATAAGCAATTTGTACTATACTCAAAGATTATCCTTTGTAATATCAAAACATTATGCTACTTCTTTGAAACTTTCCTTAATACAAAATTTTCTCTCTTAAATAATGTACATGAAACATAAATTCATCTTTTCTTGATTAGAACAATGACAAAGTTAAGAGGCAATCCCAGAGTTAGAAAAGCCCAATTTGTTATATGTTCAATCCCACATGGGGA